TTTAATCATACACCCAATTATTTGGCACTTGTCCCATTGAGAGGCAGGTCTGTGTCTTCTCCCCTTGAATATGGGGAAAGACTCCAGTGTTGTGAGTTCAGTTCCAAGTTGTGCAAAGGGGACTGGATGTTTTAAAGGGAGAATGAGAGAGTAGGAAAGAGGAGTGGGAGGGGACTGGAGCAGAGTCAGAAGGTGAAAAGTCACTAAAATCGTATAAGAAGGTTGGTCAATGTCAGTGTGATTGGGTCATTGTGTCTGCGAACTGGCACTTATCAGTCAGAGGCTGGGAGACCGGTGCCCTATCCTNACTGGAGCAGAGTCAGAAGGTGAAAAGTCACTAAAATCGTGTAAGAAGGTTGGTCAATGTCAGTGTGATTGGGTCTGGCATTGTGATTGGTTCAGTGCGAACTGGCACTTATCAGTCAGAGGCTGGGAGACCGGTGCCCTATCCTTCCTAATGATAGCATTTCAAAGGAATGACTCTCAGGCCTGTGAGAATGACAGTCCCAGGCTGTTGAAGAGTCATATACATCTCAAAAGGGACAGAGAGAGGACTTACAATAGTGAGCTTTTAATAAATGCACTAAGAAAAGGGAGGTCAGGGGCCCATTGGAACACGTGTTAAATTCTCTTGGCAGGCTTGATCTTTCCAGACAGGAACTCAAGATGGCCTGGGCCATCCTGGGGACACAATCTTAGGCTGCTAGAAGCCATGGTCAAGTCTCTCAGGGCAGGGGTTTGGACAGTCTTTTATGCCAGGATTTCGCAGTTCTCAGTATCATGGGGCAGAGAGAAGCCAGCCCTCTGAGTCTTGTCTGAATCCTTGACCCACAGAGGCGGTGAGCACAGCCAAGTGGTAGCTGTTCTTACACCGCTAAGTCTGGGGTTTTTTGGGGGGGCAACAATGGAACAGGAACCTGGCTGCTTATCCCCTCTGGTGGGAGTGGCCCCCTAGCCCTTGCCTCTGGCCTGTGTAACAAACCAGCAGTCAAAGCCTGGGATGGATCGCTCCTTCCAGCCTCAGAATCATGGTGTGATGAACACTCAGCAATCGGCTGCTATAGGTTCAAACTGGAAGAGAGGCGCAGTTTTGCTTGGCATCCTGCTCGTAGATTAGAGCCAGGACCATGTAGGGTGGTGGGGTCCGGGGTGGAGTGGAAAAAGCAAGTCAGCAGCCATCAGCACTTCCCTGACTGTGCCAAGAAAAATGGGGTTAGCAAATAAACAGCCTGCAGAGGGGACTGCAGTGAGGAACTGGGGGGGGGG